CACAGAGAGCGACACAGGAAACACGTTTCTACTTTTAGCAGGCTTATCCAAAGTGTCCAAAGTCCAACCGAGTGTCTTCTGTTACTGATTGTGGGGATGACTGCAGCTGTGTGAGCTTGTGAATGTGCGCAGGAGTAGAGAATGTGGCTGATCAGAGAAGAGGAAAAGGTTTCCTAAAATATAAACTTTAAATGAGAGCTGGTCCAGGAAGATGGCACATGGGCACGGAAATTCACTCAATACAACAGCCAAACAGATTTGACAAACTTTCATATTTTGTGATATTCTCCTGTTATTATTTTTTTAAAAGAACATCCAAATAAATGTGTAAGTTTAACACATGGTGTTAACCTACCTTGTGTTTCGATGCCTTCTATCGAGATATTCATTAATGTGCTGCAGCGGGCGTCCGGCTGCCCTCTGCTCTCGGCTCCTTGTATCTTTGTAAATTTAAGTCCAGTAGTGCTGCCGAGTTCACGAGGGTGACTACGTGGTTGCATTTGGGTTAAGAGCCGTCCCATCCAAGTCTTTATGTAGACAGAGCAGAGTTTGGACAAACAGCCAGTTGCACATTAGTGATAAGCTACGGGGGAAGTATTGATCGACCCTGACCAGAGGCAGAGGGTGAAGGGTGGAGGAGGGAGACGAGGGGGGAACCAAAACGCTACGCCGCTCAAGGGCCTCAGTTTCCACCGTGCGCTGAAATCAACAAACCGACACGAGCAATGTGGGTTGGTAAAGATCCTTCAAGAAGAGTAAATGCATTGTGAAACATGCAGCCACCAAGCTGCTAACAGGCAGAGCATCGGATTAGATGCATGTTTGCTGGGTGAGGGGAAAATGTTAAAGCCAGAATGTGTCAGTGTTTAAATCCCGATAGCAGGAAGTGAACAGCGTGAAGAAGCGTCACGGACAGCGTTTGTGATTTTTTTTTCTTCTTTTTTTTTTTTTTTTTTACATTTTATCACGTCACTACCACAAACTTTAAGGTGGTATATTGGAAACCTATATGTGAGCAACAAACACAAAGCAGCACTGTAAAGTAAAAGGTAACAGATAAATAGTTGTAATATTTCTTATATTTTATCCCATTTATCAATCTGGAAAGTGTGGCACGAATTTGTATTGAGCTCCCTTTACTATCAGGGCCTTAAATGAAACGTAGTGGAACCAGGTGTCGGGATGTGTAATTTAACGTCATTATGAATATTGGTGAACAAAAAGCAACATGAAGGTAAAGGAACAAGGCAGACAAGTAAGGGAGAGAACGTTTTGGAAAAGTAGGTTTGCAATATAAAAAAAAAACAAAGCGCACTGTTCAATCCATCATCTGAAAATGGGGAAACTCTAAATCAGGGGTCACCAGCTCCAGTCCTCAAGGGCTACAATCCTGCAACTTTTAGATTCACCTCTGCTCCAAAATGTCTGAATTCCCTCACCAGCATTTATTCCTCTCTGCAATAGGCTGGGAACAAGCAGTTTATTTGATCCAGGTGTGTTTGAGCAGAGACGCATCTAAAAGTTACAGGATGGTAGCCCTCGAGGACTGGAGTTGGTGACCTCTGGTCTAAATCTATTAAAACATGGTGGTCCACCTAAACTGGCAGGCCGAGCAATAACAGCATTAATCAGAGCTGCAAAGGTCCAAAGGTCTGAATCTGTTGTGCATCACCCTCACTATCAGCGTGGCAACATCAATGGAGCTGAACAACCATCAAAGAAAACTTGTCAAGGCTCTGATAAAGAGTCATCTTTTAGGAGGTCAAAAAGTTGAATACAGTGGAATAGATGAAAGCATTAATGTAGTAGAATGGCCCAGTCAAATCCCAGACCTGATTTTAATAACCAGTGGAGACCTGGGAAATTCAGAGTCCTAGACAATTTAGTTTGAGTTTGAAGTGTTTAGCAAAGAACAGGCAAAAACTGTTAAAAGTTAGAACATATAGAAAATTAACAACTGTATATATATAGTCCAACTTTAAGAATTGTTTATGAACATGCTTTTCATTCATTTCTGCACTTTTCTCTCTGTTAAGGCTACATTTTGTTTTCAATTTTAGACATCAATCTAAGCTAATATACTTTTAGCTGTAACATTAAATTATGCAACTCAAACTTCAACAAACATTTTAACCACACTGTTAATTCAGCCTTTTCTCTAAACATTAAACTGAACACTTGAAATCCTGTGGCATTTAGCGTTAAAAGTAACTTTTATAATTTCAAAGTAAGTAAGTAACTTTGATACTCTATGAAATACATGTTACTTCTAGTAACCAAACAGGCCCAAACCATGATGCTGCCACCACCATGCTTCACAGTTGGTTGTGATCTTAGGTTTGACTCTCCCAAACTTACTTCCAAACATAATGATTGTCTGGCCATAAAATCTTCATCCAGAAATTGTTTAATTGACCTTATGAGACGTTGCAAATGAAAAACATCATCATTATTAAGATTATCAGCTAATTTGAGCTTCAGTTCACCATATGACAGCCATGAAGCAGGATCCACCCATTTATAAGGAAGTGAATTTCATTTAACAAAAAGTATTTTAGCCCTTTGTTTTAAGAAGTTGAAATGTTTCAGGTCTAAGGAGAAGTTGGCGCTTGATTTGTTTGTGACCAGATGGAGGGTATAGGAGTGCTTGATAAAATGTCCCCGGAGAGGCCGGGTGGCTTTTATTTGCTCGTCCTTGGAGCTGATAACTCTCAGATTGCCTGTGTGAATGAACTGAGGTCCCTTCACCACACCGATCCACGTGCAAGTGCATGCAGATTGCAAAGAGCGACGGCGAGGCCTGCAGGTCGGACTGTCCACAGACGGCGGGGACAAAAGGCTCTGAAAGCGTCTCTTGGAGTAATTCCACTCGCCTGGCGACTCCAGTTTAAACGGTTTGTTCTCCATTTGTGGATAGTCGCTCTTTGTCAGGCCCAGAAAGCTTAGAAATGGCTTTGTAACCCTTTCCAGATTGAAAAATATCAAGTACTTTTAATAATAAAACAAATGTGCAGCTCTTTGTATATGCATACACAGGAATGTATTAGGTTAAAAAAACCCATCTAGAGTGTGAAATGTGTTAGTATCACTGGCAGCAAAATAGTCTTAGGAGCATGATGCTGCCACCACCACCATGCTTCACTTATAAACAGTGTTCTTTGGTTTGAAAGCCTCACTTTAACTCCTTCAAACAAACTTATTGCCTCTGAGCAGAGGCTAATAAAGTATCCAAAAATTGTACTCAAGAGTAGAAATACTTCATAAGTATTCAAGTAAAAGTCTCCAATTTTCAGTGGTCAGCACAAGAACAATGATCCCAAACACATCAAACCTGGTTTGGGAGTAGACAAAGCAAGCAAGCATGAAGAATGATTAAAAATCAAGAAAGAATTAAAAGTTCTTGTCCAAGAAAGAGGATACTGAAGTTAATTAATTAAACAAGACAGTATAAGAAGTGTCATTTTTATTTAAAGTTAAATGAACCAGAGTTGCAGAAAGTAGTGGAATCATCAACAAAAATTATATTTCTCAGCATCCATTTAAAAAAAGAAAAGAAAAGAAAACCTGATTTAAAAAAAAAGAAAAAAACAAACAAAAACGAGTCAGTCAGAATTGAGATCACTGGGGTAAGAAACGTACAAGAGGAAAATATCAAGAAACAGCTCAAAACAGGATATGAACTTAAGAAAATGAAGTGTCTTGTTCACTTCCGTTTCTACCGTAGCAGCAGCCCAGATTTACAGAGTATTTATATTGCACCAGGAAGTGCTCAGAAAGGAAAGAACCACATTCAAGTAAATGAAAAAAAAAAGACATAAATCAGGCGACATGACCTCAGAGTGATCTATAAAGTGCCCTTTAGGTTTAGTTGTGTTAGAAAAAACAGAGACAAGGAAGAAAATATTAAAAAAAAAAGAGAGAGAGAAACATTTGTCTTTGTAAGAAACGTGCTGCTCTATATTCAGCGATAATCACAGCTTTTCACTCCAACATTCACTCACACGCGGCTTCATTTTAGTGTTGATCAGTAATACTTCTGTTAAATGTAATACATACATATTTATATCTCATGAAGAACTTAAAATGCATTCCTCCCCCTGGACAAAAAAAAAAAAAAAAAGAACAATTTTAAAGCATTATGAACAGCGACATACACGGGGAGCATTAAGTTAATCACAGAAACTTGCCACAATTTGACATTTCCCTTCATGACCTCGAGAACAGTTACATTTCCAAAGTTAGTATGTAGTCAAAAGCAAACACAACGCACAGTTTCATGCTGCTTTTAAAGCACTACAGTAAAAACGTTTTTTTTTTTTTTTTTTTTTTTCAAACACATTTGCTATCACCATAACAAATGATATGGACTCTTCTCTTGCCCCCAGAACGAACCAGAAACTGAACTTCAAACGTCATGTCATATGCGGTTTTTGAAATAGCAAAGAACATTGTTCATCAGTACAAATACATACCATATTTTCCTGTAAGTTACAAACGATTAGTAAAAGAAATTATGTTGCGTGACCACAAAATTATGTATATATTAAAAAAAAAACACAAAAAAAACAACAAAAGGAAATCATAGCGGGGCTTATTGTCATGGACTCTTATTCAAATCTTCATAGTGTCTTTAAAAAAAAAAAAAAGAAAAGAAATGTTATTTTATAAAGGCTGCAGCAGCGCTATCTGATCACGACCCAGACAAGGCTCTACGGAGAGGTGTGTCTGATTTCCTGAAATGTGATTGGCTAGCATTCCTAAGGTAACCTGGTGCTGGGTTAAATATTTGAATAAGATCTAAGAACGTAGTGCCTTTGCAGCTTCTTAGGAGAAGTAGTGCATGTGGGAGCCAGATTAAGGCCATGCTAAGAGCTCTCCACTGAAAGGGGATCAAACACTGTGCTATAGTAGAGCTACTGAAATGCATCTGTATTTTCCAGCAGTGTAGATATTCACAGGATGGGGGAGAAAGGGGAAGAAATGCTGGACTCAGGGAATCCTGCTGTGTGGGTGATTTTTTTAATTTTTAATTTTTTCCTGTCGATCAAGCCCGCAGATAAGACATCTCAGAACTGAGGCAGTGCAATGCTCCCTTTTCTCTTCCCAGCATCTTAAAAAAAAAAAAAAAGAAAAAAGGAGTGACCCATCCCGCACTGTAAAGATAGAAACACGTAGGCATATTGGCTCGACAAAGTTGCTGTACAGTCTTTAAACCACCATGCAGTGGAGGCGGCTCACGGTCAGGCGTTAACAGTACAACATGCTCGCACAAAAACTGCTACAAGCAGCTGGCTTCACGTCCCTGGGGATTCGCTTTCGTTTCTTTTGCTATTGGTTGTTGCTGGATAGAGTCGGAGAGGGGGGAGAGGAGGGAGGTGCGCTTTAGTCGACTCCCTCGAAGCCTTGAGCGTTCTCCACCGCCATGAGGAGCTTCTCTCTCAGGTCCTCGAAGGATTCGTAGCTGGGCAGATCCAGGCGGTTAAAACTGAGAAGAAGAAAGGGGGACGGGGGAAAGATAGATTTATGGTAAAAGATAGAAATAAATAAAATAAAATTCTTCAACGCGTTATGTGCGGAGGTGGCGTACCACGTATGAGCTCTCGGTAGCTTATCTGGTGTTCCCCACTGCTCAATTGTAAAGAGCTGAGGGCCATTAGAACCTAAAGCGAAAAAAGATGAATATCCATAAAAAGGCAAACATGTTGACAAAATATCTGTTTTATACATATATTGAAATAGACACAATAACTTGTATTTGTTATATTAAAATGAATAAACCAAACTGGGCATTAACGTTTTTTCTACCACAAAGTTTTAGGCAAATGTTTATCATTATAAACTTTAACATTTTTCTAAAATTTCTTTGCAACATTTTGTGCTAGTAAGTAAATGGCATGTATTTTTTTTGCCGTGACATAAGTTGGATTGTCAGGCTATAAGTGGAAGGTCTGACAGTCACTTCAGACATCCAAAATGGCAACTAGAGTTTCAAAACAACCTTTGAATGAAACAAAAAAAAGAAGAAAAAACTCATCTTTTGAGAACACATTACCATAAAGTTCAGCGAAGCCATTCATCGGCACCCGCGACGTTCCCGTAACAAACTGGAGGAGTCGGATTCTCTTCTCAGCATCCATCAGCAGGACAACCTAACAAGAGAGAGGACACAAAAACTCTCTCAATGAAACAGTTTACAGATTTTTTTTTTTTTTTTGTTAACTGAGTATTTATTATTGACGTACGTAAATTCGCCCTTTTAAGGTTCAGAATTGTTATTTGTGTGTGAAAGACAGAAGCTCAAGTCAGACTCGGGGAGCGTTTCGATGCCCAAGGCCTGGGATATTAAATGATGTCAAAGTGTCCTTACAAAAACCAAAAAGCAACAGAACAAATTCAAACGGGAGAGTGTTTGATGTGTGTGTTAAGATAATATCTGGGGCATGTAATACTTTCGGGGTGTTTCATCAGAGCAAACAAGCCCGCTCTTCCAAACAGACTTTGATCTGGCAGGTCGAACACACAGGAACACGCCTGGAACCAGCTTCGTTTTCATGCTCATCCTCAGTACTAACCTTTTTGCAAAAAAAAAAAAAACACTACGAGACTGCATGAAAGGGTATTCAAGGGAAACCAGATAATTGTTTATAGGAAAAGGAAAATAAAGTAAAATGGCATCTTAAGGCAGGATAGAGCCAATTCACTGTGGGATCAGGAAAACTAGCGACCATCATCTCAGTTAGTTTTCTTGTCTGTTGGTCTAAGTGATTATAACTCTGTATCCTATTGGCAAAACAGGGACTTATCAGCATTTATGTTCAGTAGCTTTTTATGACTAAAAGAGTCACAGGTCAGAATTAAGTAGGAAAACAATGACCAACTCCCAAACAGAAAATCTTTTTTTTTTTTTTTTTTTCCCAAGCCACCTAAAGGAAAATGAAATAAAACCTCAGAGGACCCATTTCAACATGATTAAAAATGCAAAAAAAAAAAAAAAAAAAAAAAAAAAAAAAAAAAATTTTAAAAAAAAATTTTTTTTCCAAAAAAAATTTTTA